TTGTATGTTACAATTAACAAAGGCCTTAAGTATTAATAAATCAGTTTTTTTCCTCTCACAAAGGGAATTCTTGGAAGCTTGGTATTCAGACAAGACAGCCATCAACAGGCACATAGAGATAAACAACATCTACACACTATTCAAAAGAGACAATAGAAAAGAAAATGAAAGATCAGAACATCTCCACACCAGCAATCATCACCCAGATAAGCAGAGATTACAACCAGGTACACAATCAAGCAGTAAACAATACCCTAATCAAGGAACTACCAGAGGAAAAAATAAAACAAAACAAAACCCACCCACCTACCCCCACCAACACTGGCAGGGCATGCCACAGGATATAAACAGAGAACAAACTCCACTCCATTCTAGCACTGAAGATGTTACCTAGCCGGGTAATGAAACGTTTGCAAGAACGTTTGGTGTAGTGGTTAAAGTATCAGGCTAGAAACCCTAGAAACCGGGGGACCGTCAATAGTCCTGCCTTAGGTACAAAGCCAGGTGGGTGACCTTGGGCTAGTCACTCTCTCAGCCCTAGGAAGGCAATAGCAAACCACTTCTGAAAAAGAACCTCACCAAGAAAACTGCAGGGACTAACCCAGACAGTCACCAGGAGTCAACACTGCCTTGAAGGCACCCCCCTCCAAAAAAACCCACCTGCTTATTTTTCAGATTTTTAAAAAAATTTATTCTTCAATATCCCAAAAACGAGAGAACAAAAAAAGACAAAAATAGACAGGAAGAAAAAGTAGCAACTAAAATTGCATACAATAAATTATTCTGCCTAGTTTTTAACAAACCATGAAATCTTGACCACATGAAATAATATTAATCAATCTTCGCATTATATTCATAAACATCCAGATCACAAACAGAATGTGAATACATATCTGTAATCCAAAACTGTAAATCTGTGGTATCTCTATCTTTACTAAATAATAATCTTCTTCGATTGATAAATTTGTAGTTTTTCACATAATTTACAAATTCACATTTTAAAATTGCACCTTATTAACAAACTTAAGGAAATTGCATAAATGGTGTTGTATGCGAAATAAGTCACATATAATGCTGCATTTGTCTACTGTATTAAACTATAATCTACCATTCACAAATCATAATATCTGGTTTCAAAAATTTGCTAAGGCAAAATGAAATAAATCACATTAAGACTTAGGGTGAGGCGTGAATCTTTCCAAAGAACTGCACTTTGGACATTTAAGCATCTTTTTGCTAAAACGAATGGAGCACAGTGGCAGGAATTCATATCTGCTCCATTCCCCAAACTTCCTGTATATGGAAAATGAAGTTCTTCCTTTTATATGCAAATACAACAATACAGGTTTGTGAAAGCACTCCCCCACACTTCAATTTGGCCCTTGTAATCCAAGCAATATCATAGAAAATAGAATTTTCTTAACATAATTTGTATGTAATTTTAGTCACATCTCTCCATTTAAAAACAAAATATATATGAGAAAAGATCACACCATAGTTAATGTGCACAACCAGAAACATTCTTACGTGTCTAAGATCGGGACTGCTCCAAATTTATATATAGAAAATGTCATAAAACAAAACTCATGTTTTTGGCTTAAGACAGGTGATAAATACTTCAGTGTGTAGCTAAGATGCATTACCTCCATTTCAGGCCATGAAATGTATTTAGCTACCTACTTCACCTTTTATCTGCATCTTCCTTTATCGCTGAAGTGTCAGCTATATGTCTGTTGAGGACCACTGGATACAAACACTATCCTCTATATTTCTTTCACAGTTGAGAGAGAATAATTTTACAGCTACCAATACAGCACATTAAACTGTCCATAGTTTTTATTGCCAGAAAATTGTTAATATCAGTTATCCCTACAAGCATTTTATGGGCAGAAGCCAATGTTTAAAGATAAACACTCACAAAGGGCACCCTGAGCTTTCAGGGCTACCCCATTATTGATGCCAGGGAAAACAGCATCCAGACCTCTGCAGCTCTCCAGCTGAGAACACACTTCCCCCTGTACACAGAGATTGCTTCAGAATAAGCCTGGTTGTAACCTTGGCTTTAACTGAGCTGAATTCAGCTATGATGTCCTTTTCAGCAGGTGGGGAACAAGTTGAGTATTAGTAGCAGATGGTAGTGGAGAAAGGACTGAAAATGGATTCAGGAGTGAAAAGAATGAGTTGGTTTTATTTTAAGCTAAGGACTGTTCACTTTCTTAAATACAGAGCAATGCTGAAGCCAAACATTTTAAGAACAAGATATTAGTATTCCTTGTGAATGAGAAAGATAATGAAAGTGATCATTATCAAAGGGAATGAGGACTTTCTACAAACAGCTGTCTATATCGTATTGGTAAATGTTACTAGCAACAGAAAGTTAGAAACTTCTGCTGAGCTGTGGTAGAATATTGCTGTATTGCTGAATAATACTGGAAGTTCTGACTTACCTTCACAAATCGTGAATTCGTGCGCAGCAGTTTACGGATCACCAGCAGCAAGAAATCCATCTCTTCTGTACGCTCATGTACCTAAAACATTATTTTAAAAGATGAGAGGGCTCAACTAAAAATGAGCTTATTATACATGTACATGGATTCTGAGATGAGCCACTAGAAAACAGTGAACTTTCAATATTTATATACAAGAGGAAGGTACACAGTGAACGAGCTTAGCTGAACTGTGGTTAATGACCTAAATGAGGGAGTTACAATTGAAAGAGCTAAATCAGATATGTATGTCCTAAGGCCTCAAGGATCTCATCCAGCTTTCAAAAGCCTTGAGTGTGGCTGTAAAAACTTCCAGCAGTGGTTATTCAATTTTTGGGGGGGGGATATAAAATGCATGATTGAAGAGTAATTATATCAACTGTCATGTAATTCTAACTAAATCAAACATAGATTTTGTCCTGGCTATACCTTTTTCTTTTCAGAGTACAACTTATAGCATGCCACTCAAAGACTGTGTGGTCCTCTGCTCCTGAGATAAATCATTTCCTCCTGAGCTAACTTACTCATATCCAAAATTAATTGGTCCTATACAGGTGAAACTCGAAAAATTAGAATATCGTGCAAATGTTCAGTTATGTCAGTAAGGCAA